CCCACCTCATCTAACAATTCTATGAGGCAGATTAAGGGGGGTGGGTGGGAAGGAACTTGAAGATATTTTTGTGCATCTGGCATGTATTCTGTGCGAAACTAACAAAAAAAAAATCAGGAATCCCAAATTGTTCGCCGAAAGGCAACATGAATTTACATATTTGCAATCCTTACAAACTGACTGATTTCTACAGGTCTCTGGGTGAAGAGTTGGCAGCACAGGCAGGGAGGGAACAATCAGTCCTATTGAGACCCCCACATGCACACTTCTAATTTAACCCCTATGGCCTGATAATCTTCCCTGCTGGTGAAGGGAAGGAGTGTTTTAGCTTAGTAATAAAACAGTGTTTTGCATTGAGAAAGTTGCTTGCACCTCCAGTTATAAGGATCAAGTAGCCGAGGTTGGAGAGGACATCTGCAGGAGCCCCTGAAGGCTACTGCTAATCAGGGTCAACAAAATGAGGCTAGATGGATGCACAGTTGGATTTGATATTCATGAACCTCCTAGAGTTCCAGTCACACTTCCTTCATGATCTCACTGGGTTGCTTTAAGCCATCACGTCCAGGTGACTCCTTCTCTTTCTTGTGGTCATCTCCCAAATGGTAATAATTGGACTGCTCCATTTTGAATGGATCCTCCTGAGAGCATGTGTGAACCATTCTTGAGTGCATTTACACATGTGCATGTATCTGTACTTAGCCTAAACTGCAGAAACTTACTGGCTGAATTACTGCGAGTCCTCTGACATTTGGCTTTTGTCTGCAGAACGGACCCATTTGGCAGGTCATGGTTAGTAGGCTGCTCCTTATGAGGACAACTGGAGGATTCCTAGGAGGAGAGGGGAAAAAATCCAGAACATCTTAAGTACCTACTATGATTTAAAGGTAGGGTGTGTGTTTGTCTGATGCATACAACTGGAGCCCACTCTGGCATTGACGTAAAACATGCTTAATCCCTTTCAACCTAATTCAGTGTTTTTCAAACTTGGCAAGTTGAAGACATGTGGACTTCAACTCCCAGAATTCCCCAGCCAGTATTCTAGGAGTTGAAGTCCACACACCTTCAACTTGCCAACTTTGAAAAACATTGACCTCAATGGTAGCAAGAGAAGAGATGGGACCCCTCCCCACTTCCCAGTCATGTTCATGCAAGGAGTTCTTAATCCTTTGGGCAGACTCTAATAACAAGCCTCTGTATGTTAAAGATGGAGAGACCAGTGCAGTTTGGGCCACTGAGGTTCAGAGCCCTCTGTCGACATGAGCTGCGTGAGTTTCTCCACCAGCTGAACTTTACACATTGCCCACAAATGGAAGTTTAACAGAAAAGTCTCTTGGCAGATTGGGAGACTATGAACAAGATGGTGCAGGTGCGCTGCAAAAGTCTAAATACAAATCATTGACCAAGTTCCTGCCCTGAAGGAAAATGCAGATTTAAAATCAGTGTAATGGGGAAGACTAAGAAGGAAAAGGCCCGACAGCAAAAGGTTAAATCCAGCCAAAATGGGAATAGGCACAACTGTATGTGCTTTTAGCTGTGGCCACCACTTTGCTCATGCAACGTTGGGAGGGATGAGTAAATGAATAGATGACAATAGTAGCAAGGAGCAGCAGTTGCTGCAACCCGGTTTTTCACCAATGATTTATCTCTGCCCACAAGCATTGCAGCAATATCAGAGAGGAGAACAAATGTTACTCATGACAGGGAAGTGCACTTAGGGGCAGTTCTTCCAAAACCTGGACCTGCTTTCTTGGCAGAGAGACTTCTTCTTAAATGCTGAATTCCTTTCTCCTACAGCAGATGGCGTCTTGGTTAAGTCAACTGAATATTGCTGTTATTCTTCCTTGTGATGCCTGAATAAAAACTTTGGCAGGTGGGCATCTCCAACTCTTTTTCTTGTGGGGCTGCTTCTCTGTTGCAGGGCAGGTAGAAATGTAACTGGTGAAGCTTCCCCCAAGAGGCTAATGCAGCAGTGAAGAAAGTTGTGTCTCCTGGAATTCTATTGGTTGTTTGACAGCTAAAAACACAGGAGTGTGCCAAGGGAGGGGAAAATGGGAAAGCTTTGGGGTTCCTCAAACTGAATGTACATACAACCCCTACAGCTTTGCATTCTATCAGAGTCAGCACTCTTGGCACCTGCCACCGACCATACTTAAGAGGGCTATCATTTTCTGACTTGTTTTTCTTCCTCGGGAGAGAAGAAAGAACATTGGGACACTTCTTGACCTGTCCATTTCTTTTGGATAGCAGAAATAATGGGTAAAGTGAAAAGAACCCCATGGAGAACTCCCAGAACCTAGAGTCAGCCCTAAGTGGGACAGAGAGGTCTCAGCTTTTCCACTTACCTTATTAGCAATCACTAAATTGACCAAGCCTCTGGCTGACTGGATGAGTGATTCAGCCTCTTTGCTGGAGAGCTCTTTAAGAGATTGCCCATTGACTGTTAAGAGCTCATCACCAGGGCTTAAGCGACCATCCCTTGAAAAACAAGAAAGTACAACAATAGGTCTGCAGGATTGTGAACTAGTGTTATCAGCTCTCAACAACTGCTTCAAGGAGACCCCTGCTTTTTGATCTGCTGTTGCTTTACATTACATTTGCAAACCACAAGGTTGAGGCCAAATTCTTTACAAGCAAACATTGCTCCTAGATCACTGCCAAGGGATATTTCGGTGGGACATAATGAACCAGCTTCTGATTCTGAAATCTTTTTAGTCAGCCTGAGGTCACAGGCAGGAACATGTGATAGTGAAGTACTTAACAGATTTACTCATTCTTTGCTCTGTATAGTTTTGGGTTAAGTTGCTGAGATGCCATGGATTTTTTTTTTTTATCTGCATGTTTACAAATGTTCTAATATCTCTGTTGATGCAGTAGAGCTCTACGAAAGAGGGTAGTGCTTCCATGGTGAAAGCAAATTGCAGTAACTCCAATCTTTTTTCCTGGGCAACAGCTTGAATCAGGGAGGAAGGAATATCTATGATACATCCCTCTTCAATCTGTTCAATGAGGTGAGACATATACAAGCAGGCTTGAGTGTAATAAGTTTAACTGCAGAATGGGAGAACTGCAAACTATTGATATAATCACAATATATCTTTAATATCTCTGCTGAACAATGTGCATGGGAAAATGCTACTTTTCTCATGTCCTGCTTATAGAGTTCCCATAGCAATCTGGTTTTCTGCACCATTTTTACAGAAGGTACCTTGGTGGCTATATAGTCTACCTTCCTGCTCAATGCAGGTAACCTCTTTCAACCTCTTTTCAAATATCTCCAGCAAAGAGGAGACCACAAGATTACTTCTTGAGAAGTTTCTCCTAACATGTTCTTCCCCCCAACACTTTCCACACAGTAATTCTAGTCCCATTCCATGGGTCAACAGAGTACAGTCTTCTTTATCATTCATGCAACAGTTCTTCAGAAATTTGAACTTTGTTATTATATCCCTCCTGAATTAAGCCACTTTGAGTGCTTAGGTAAGTAGGAAGATAGGATATACATTTCATCACCATCATTACCACCACCACCACCACCTTTTTTCTAAGCTAAATATGTTTGATAATGTGGTTTCCTAATGAAATTTTGTAAGATACCTCTGAGCAGCTCCCCCGTCAATCACGTGGCTGACCATAAATTCTTTACCAAAAGCAGAGCCATTGGAAGTCCTGCAGACTTGAATTCCCAGCCCCTCATTCCCAGTAGCAATGCAGAGCTTCCAAATGCAGCTGTCCTGGTTGGGAAGACATAAAGAAAAGAAACTTGAGCTAAATATTGCTATTTCTATTAAGAGTAATATTTAGATGGTCAACATACAGACATGCAGTGTGCAGATCAGAACACCTTCTCTGATCCCACAATGCACTTTGAAAGCCTGCTTTATTATGACATTCATCTGATTTGATATTTTTTTCTTTCATACTAGAAATGGCAAGAGAGGACAGATATGCAGACTACCATGCTTTTGTTATAACACTCTACGCTATATTTTAAAAATAATTGCCACTCCAGACTGTTGTGTATCAACCTCCATGATGCATGCCATAGTAGCAGCCCTAAGGGGTAGTGGTGCCAAAGGATTGGTACCTTGGGGTGTAGATCCATGGCTTACAATTTAAGAGACCCCTATGGGCATAGACAGCAACAGGCATTGTGCCCACTCCTGGATCAGGAGGTTCACACACCCTCCTGCCTCAGTCACCTCCCATCTAAATTATACATTCTGAGACTACTCAGAAACTGCAGCTGGCCCAGAATGCAGTTATGCAGATAGTTCTGGGTGCACTTCGATATGCCCATGTATCACCATTACTGCATAAGCTGCACTAACTTTCAGTAGGTTTCCAAGTGCAACTCAAGGTGCTGGTCATCACTTATAAAGCCTTCATGGCCCAGGGCTATCTGCAGGACCTCCTGTTCCTAATTATTTCTGCCATCCTACAAGAAATGACAGGTGGGCATACTCTGCGTTCCTTCAATTAAACAATACCTTGTGATGGGACCTAGAAAGTGTGATGGGACCTAGGAAGGGCCTTCTCTGCCGTTGTGCCAGTCCTGTGGAATGGCCTTCCCTCAACATTGGATGGCTCCAAGCTTGATGGCCTTCCATAAGACATTAAAAACTTGGCTTTTCCTCCAGGCACCAGGGCAGGAAATTAGGTGTGCCTGTTTTTAGAGGGTTACTGATGTGGATATATGAGTTGCTGCCAGTGTGATCTGTCTCAGGTTTTTGTTGATGCTCTTATCATTGTTTTTAAATTGCTGTTTGTCCAAACGTGTGGCCATGCAAATCAAATACTTAAAATTATGAAAATGGTGGTACAGTAGTAGCTAAGGAGTGCTGCTGGCAACAAAAAGAAGATCTTGCATACTAGCAGACAGATTAAAAAATAGCATAATGCTGGCAAGGCAGGTAGGTTAGGAATGCAGAAGAGTAGCCAGAGAGGTCTCCTTCCACTCACTTTGCCCAGGAGCTACTGAAATGTGATGTAGAAAGCCTGTCAAACCAAATTCTATTACTTTGCCCCTCCTAGATAGGTTGGGCTACAGCTTCCAACATCCTCAGCTCTGATGGCCAATGCTGAGGACAACGCCTTTTTACAACAGAACTGGCTTAGGCTGAGAAACTCTTTGCACAGACCTCAGCTTCCTCCTGCTCTGTGTGCTATTACAACAGCTTTGCATCATAGCAATTATCTTGTTGCCTTCTAAGTTGAAAGTGCCAGGAACCTGATAGGGGCATAACATCCTGGGTGCACAATCTCTGCCGCTGGTTCAAATGGAATCACCACCACCAAAATCCCTTGGTTGGAAAGCAGTTCACATGTGGTAGAAGGGGGGAAAAAAAGAACCCCCTTATCCAAGGTCTGGAAATGACAGTCAGGCAGAGGTAGGGACCTTCCTCCTACCTTGATGAAGAACTTCCTTTTCATATTCTTACAGCTGTCGCTGGCCGTGGTCCTCAGCTGCACCACGCTGGCAATCGTAAGAGGACTGGAAGTGGCACCCTTGCTGGGTGAGGGGCACGCAAACTGAAGTTGAGGGCATGGTTCTTTCTGACTCCAGCTGGCTTGGCTCTCAAAGGGGTTTGAGTATTTGTCATCAGGGCTTGAGCCATCATCGCTGGTCTTGCCGTTGCACAGGATGAGTGACCGGGAAATGGAGCGCAGCGTTTTGGATTTCCGACCCTTGGCACTATTATGCCGTTCCATTTTTGGAGACCTAGGAACTGGTCAATTGGTCATGCCGGATAGGTACACTTCCCCCAGCGCCTGCAAACGAAGATCCAGATGGAAGAGAAATGCAGGGGAGAGGAAAGGCGCGGGGGGGGGGGGGGGGGGAGTGAGAAAAATAAAATCATCAGCAAAGTGTTTCATCTCTCTAAACCACCCACCTCTAAATGTTGATTAAAGACAAGAGGCCTTTAGTTCCAAAACAGCAAGTCATGAGGCATCACGTTGCTAGTAGTTCTGTGGTTTTTTTTTCCCCCCAAAAAAACATGCTAGGCATCTTTCTCATTCATCTCTCTAGTTGTTACTCTTTCTGTCCCCAACCCTCTGAAAGAATCAAATCCATACTCACACAACCTGTTTAGCCTTGTTACAGAATTAGCCCATTTTCTGAGTTCCCACATTACATTAAACCATAAGCTAACCAGCCTTTTCCAATTCATACAGACCAGAACTTGTAACCAACATTTTTCTTTTGTTTCAAGTTCTTGATGGTGCTAGTAGTAAACATTGGTCTTTTCAGGTTCAGACAAGATCCTTGGCCTTAGAAAAAGGTATGGAGTATGATTCAAGAGCCATATGGGTTTGGGTGGATGTAAGACTGAAAGCACACACATTCACGTTAACTTTCTTGGTGGGCTTAATGTGTTGTGTGAATCAGTTTCCAGGTTCAGTGTTCAGCGCTGAAACAGATGGCCTGGGGAAGTGGTGTGCTCATATTCACTGGAGAAGTATAAACACAGACTGGATGGCCATCTGTCAAAAAATGCTATAATTGCAGGATTTCTGGATGGAGAAGTTTGAGTAAACTTCAAGATCCAACTTGACATGTCAAAACAAAGGAGCTTTCTCTTTTACTGTTCTTTAAAAAATAAAATATAAATTGAAACTTGCCCGTTGGAGGATTTTCTTTGGTTTGGAGAATCGCAACATGTATTATAAAAAGTTACTGTATAATATTGAAGGAACCAAATCAACAGAAACATTTTTGTGTAGAAAAACTGGATCTCCCGCATCCTGAAATCTTTGCCAAAGGACTATTCAGCTTATCTCTAAATTCTAAATCCTGGCCTCCTAAAAGATATCCTATTGTAAAAAGAAATTAATGCCTCTGATCATAAATCACATCAAATCATATCAAATCCCTCAAATAAATCAAAATCACACATCATAAAATGATGATTCATACAATCATAAATGATTTAGGTTTCATAAAAATCATAAATCAAATCCCGAATCATATCCCTCTGATCATAAGTCAAAGATGCAGAATTATCTACAAGAGGAGTATTTAGGGCAAAAAATAACCTTGTATTGAAGCCACCCAGCCATTTTCTTCAACTGCGTTGAGTCCCTCTTTCCAGGAAGGTCTTAACAGGTGATGAAAGGAATTGGAAAACATTTGATAAATGGGCTTGGCAGGAAAGGAATAAGATGAAGATCAAATGCTATAGAAGAAAAGAGGGAAACAGGATAAGAGCAGAAGGGAAGCTAGAAAGCATGTTCAGGCTGAATAAGTCCTTTTACTCCTAATAGCTTAACTTGGAAAACTTCTTCATCTGTCAGGTTGAAGTGGGCTGAAAAAATATGCATTGGGTTGGTCTAGCACACAATTAAAACATTTTACTTGGTTTCTACATTTTGGGGGAGAGAATCTAATTTTTAAACAGCAGGGGAAATTGTGAAAAAAAAATCCATCTAATGTTAGTACCCCCCCCTTCACACAAACGCAAACCCGCACATACCATGAGGCCAGCAGAAGGAAAGTGTCTTGTTGGGAACAAAGCTGATGCTGATGCTTCCAAAGACCGTGTGGTCCACCTGATCCATAAGCAGTGTTTAGACCGTACAACCAGCACAGCATATCGTACTCACTGCATTTTGTTCTCTTTTTCCCGTCCCCAGCCTGCCAGGAACAAAGCTGTCTTGCCTTGTTTTGGTAATCCAAACCAAATGTTAACTGGTTGGCTGATCTCTCTCCCCCATTGCTCTGCCTCCCCCCCCCCCTTTTGTGCTAAATCACCCTAACCTGTTTTGTTCTATATGTAAATAAACCCATGTGCCAGGCGCAGCCCCCATTTGGTTCCCATTTGGAGGTACGGAGACAGAGCATTTTTACAAACACACAAACTGTTCCTGCGCAAACCATAAGGCCAAATGCAAGAGTTAATGGAGCTGCGGGAAACACTAGATTTCTTCGGCAGAACACGAGGTTTTTCCGCCGATTGGCCCAAGCATTGTAACGCAGCCTCTCGCATCTGATTCCAACAGGCTTGGCACACTCCGCATTTTGATCTTTTCCTCCATAAATTAAATTGAAAGCATCGGATGCGTCTTAAAAGCATCCCGTTGGTAGGTTCCCCCATCTTACCATTTTCTTTCAGAGAAATAGGACAATAGTATTATGGGTGGGAAAAGGGAAGCATCAATAACCACTATTTTTTAAAAAATAGAACATTAAAAGGGACTTACAACAAAGCTGAAAAATCAGACTCCTTCAGAAGGCTGTTTGTCTTCGCGGGCCTGGCAGAAAGACTCAAGTGCGATAATTGGAAACACACCCTCCAACCGTCACATGACTTTATTTCAGTAATTCTGTACAGGGTATAGAACCCGGCTATTGTTTCTGGACTGCGAAAGGGGGCAGTAACAATAATAATCATGATCTGACAAATGCGTGCTGTTCGAGGTATCCCTCCAGATGTTATCCCCCCCCCCACCAGAAGCAATCGCTGCATATTTCTTTATTATAAATCATGTGTGCACAGCTTGCCGACTGTAGGCAGTCCCACCAGATGGTTTGTGCAACCCTCTCCTTCCTCACTGCCAATTTTCAGCAAGTGACTAGGAATGAAACGGGGTGACTTTGCTGCTTTCCCACCAT